CGCACACACACACACACACACACACGCGCACACACACACACACACACACACACACACACACACACACCATGCACATATACACACACATATTTATTTTTTTAATTATTCTTTTATATCATTCTAAGCTAAGCATACTATATTGTTTAGGCGAATTTCAGGACTCGTATTGACATGTATTTTCTTATACATTCTAATTCGATTTCCTCATTTTAATTATCTGATTGTTTCTTCAGGTGCAAGACTGGCAAAGGCTTACAACAACCCGGCTGTCTATCTGACTAGCAATGGAAAGAAAAGACACATAGCCAACCCAAAGACATTCAATGCTTTCTGCTTCGACTGGGGAAAAATAGCAACCATCGATTCCATATCCCTTAATGCCATGCCTGTGGGGTCTCAAATTATTACATCTAAGATTTTTAAACTTAGAGATGAATAAATAAATATATAAACTAACTAAATATATATATATATATATATACATATAAAATATATATATATATATTTTAGTATGTCAATAATGAGAGATATCGTAAATATAAAATTGAAATTCGCTACCATTTCAATGGGACTTAGTAATAGAGTACGTTCTAGNAAGAAGAGATTCTTAGCAACACCGGCAACGCCACCCACACGACACACATGAAGCTTCTTGAGAGAATCGTTCGATCCTGCTCCGAACCAGCGATGGGACTCGTGCGTTCACATGCGCGAAGGCGAAACAACTAACCTGTGGAGGTCGAGAGATAATCTACTGCTAAAATGTAACAGAGAAGTCAGTAATCTAAAGATCAGAGTCACCTGCACAGTGCCGAGGAGAATCAGTGACGAGATTCAAGAGACTCATAAGCTGAGAAGCATTATCCAGTGTAAAGGCACAAGACGAGTGACTACCCACAGCACACGCAGCAAAGGTGACTCGGGCTCCCGTACATGGCATGCCCTTCCTACTGATGGGTCCACGACCGACATCAAAGCGCGGAAGTTAACGTCGTCCCGTCTGCACACAGGTGTTGCTAAGGCGCGGCGTCAGCGTCCGCTGGGCGGCTGCTTCGATTCCCACACTCCAGCGTCAGGTGTGAACGCAACGGACTTGTTCGTACTCCACGAGCGTGGGAACCACACACACACCACACACACACACACACACCGTCGTGCTAGCCGTCCTCTCGATCCTTCACGAACACAACGACAAATCACAAACACGAGTCTAATTGCACCACAAAGATTGTCGAATACAGCAGTCAGGTGCGAAGCGAATTAGCTGCTAAGCATTTATATATGATTTTGTATATCTTGTGAGATAGATTAGTGTGACATATAGGATGGAGAATTTCACTGATCTTGGGTTATAGAGTGCGCATATTCAAAATAGGATCTCGTAATTGACAATGTATTTTCCTTATACATTAAATGCGATTCCTCATTTTAATTATCTGATGTTTTCTTTAGGTGCAGAACTGGGCAAAGACTCCCACAACTGCGGACTGCTTACACTGACTAGGCAATGGAAGAATAAAGACGACATCGCCAACCCAGAACATCATTCAAATGGGGCTTCTCTGTCGACTGGGGAAAAAGTACTTAACTATCGATGCCCATATGTCCTTGAATGCCCATGCCTGTGGGGTCTGCAAATTATTACATCTTAGATCTTGTAATAAATAAATATTATAAACTAATCTAAATAAATAATAAATATATATATGATAGTATATATATATTCTTAGTAATTCAAAATGTAATGAGAAGATATCGTATAAGTATAAAAATTGAATTTTGCTACCTATTTCATGGACTTAGTAATAGAGTACGCTTCTAAAAGATATAGGTTGGTAAATATTAAATAGTAAAAGATATTTATATTAGTATACTTCATTTGAGGCGAGAAATAAATTGTGTTGCCAAGGGTAAAAGTTCGAAACACGACAAATGGAGAGTTTTACTCTCGGTAACTTTATATGTAAGCTATTGTTTTCAATTTGCACTTGAATTTCTATCAAGAAATTAGTCAAATAAATATCTCCGTAAGTGTGACCTAAAGCAGGTATGAAGAATATTACGTTTCGTTCATGTTTGCGATTGTAAACGCGTTTCGATTACTAACGTCTATCAGACGTATTAAATGTATATATAAGCGCGAAAGCGTGATTCCCGTCCTAGAAATAAAGCGTTTTTGTGTGCACGACTCAACTCAAATCCCTCTCCTCTTGAATTACGTAATTTTCTTCGAAGTATGTAATATCTCTATTCTGCAAGCCTGCTGTGGTGTCTTCGGCTTGCCTTACTAATTTTAATAAGAAATAGAAATATTCAATGAGAACTGAAGGAAGATCCATGCAGATATTTACTGCTAACTGAGAGTTGGGGTGGTGATATCCACCAGCACTCTCACACCGGAGCATGAGCGGACCTATATGCTCAATATACACACACTACATTCTTTATATACACTACAATACACTAGATGCCACACTACTATATTCTACACACTATACACACACGCGCGGACACACACGCATACACACACACACACACACACACACACACACACACACACACACACACACACACACACACACACACACACACACACACACACACACACACACACACAACAGCACACACAACACACCACCACATATATATATATATATATATATATATATATATTATATATTATTACACACATGCACATACATTACCACACACAACACACAACCACACAACGCACGCACCACAACACACACACACAACACACACACACACACACACACACACACACACACACACACACATACATACACACATACCATATGCACTACCCTACGATTGTATATACATAAATTATACATAATAATAATATGGGAGAAACGCGAGTATTGAAAGAACATTACATAAATTTGTGTTGGCGTAATAAACCAGTAACTTCTAGCGTCGTCTCTTTAACAAGGTCGCACAGAGCATAAATAACGTAGTTAAAACGTCTGCATGTCAATAATAACCAGAGCGCTATTCACGTACTCGCAACTTTACTTGTCAGTTTTAACTGAGCAGTCAGAATTTATCACGAGAAGTTTTTCGCAGGTGAATTATAGTAAGATCACGCCAGTCGAATATCTAATGAATAACTCTTTCTGTAATACTTTACTACATTCTGCGGTGACGTACTGACCAAGAGAAAGAGGAATGGATAGCCAGTGGTCGCAGCATGATCAGAATGTCGACGAATACGAGGTAGCTAGCAAGATCTCAAAGTATATGCGCTCAAGTTCTCTCACGTTTTCCAGCCGTCCGAAGCCGCTATGTGTATAAGAAAGGAAAAAAAAGGAGTAGAAGTGTGCGTGTGTGTGTTCGGCGACGCCCTCTTATACTGGCTCGTGTCTGCCCTGGGAATTCCCCGCTTCCGGGAGAGTTTTTCGGAAATCGGTTGTCGAAATCTGTTTTTTTCATCTGGTTGTCCATAGATGGCAGGTCGGTTGATCGATCCTTAGAACGACAACAAGCATGGCTGTAGTCAACAAGGAAGCTGTAGTGTAGTGTAGTGTAGTGTAGTGTAGTGTAGTGTAGTGTAGTGTAAGTGATGTAGTGTAGTGTAAGTGTAGTGTAGTGTACGTGTAGTGTAGTGTAGTGTAGTTAAGTGTAGTGTATGTGTAGTTGTAGTGTAGTGTTCGTGTAGTGTAGTGTAGTGTAGTGTAGTGTCAGTTGTAGTGAGTAGTTTAAGTGTAGTGGTAGTAGTGATAGTGCTAGCTGTAGTGTAGTGTAGNGGTGTGTGGGGTGAGTGGGGTGTGTGTGGTGCGGGGTGTGTGGGTGTGTGGGGTGTGTGGGTGAGTGTGTGGTTGTGTGTGGGTGTGTGGTGGGTTAGTGTGTGGTTGGGTGGTGGATTGTGTGTGTGGGTGTGTGGGTGAGCGTGTGGTTGTGTGTGGGTGTGTGGGTGGGTGAGTGTGTAGGTGGGTCATCGTGTGTGTGTGTGTGTGTGTGTGCTGTCGTGTGTGTGCAGCTGTGTGTGTGTGTGTGTTGTTGACACTCGACAGACGTGTGTGTTGTGCTGTGTGTGTGTGTAGTGCATTGGTGTGTGATGGAGTGTGTTGTGCTGATGTGTGTCGTGTGTGTGGTACTGGCTGGCTGATGGTGTGTGTCGTTGTCGTGTGTGTGTGTGTGTGCGTTGGTGTGTGTGTGTGCGTGTGTGTGTGTGTGTGTGTGTGTGTTGTGTGTCGTGTGTGGGGGTGTGGTGTGCGTATGGTCAGCTGGTGAATGTGTCTGTGT